CACACACACACACACACACACACACACACACACACACACACACACACGGCCGGAGGACGGTTCAGAGAACAATCCAGGTACATCAACGTGGCATGTCTGAACTTTAAGTCAGCTCGTCTCTGCATTTCCCTCGAGGTATAAAGACTCCTGTACCCAGCTAACAGTACAGTCAGAGAGAGTGTGTGTGTGTGTGTTACCTTGCCGGTGCAGCAGAAGACGATGATGAGGACGACCGGTAAAGCCACGGTGAGGACGTAGACGACCCAGAGCCACGGGCGCTCCTCTGCAGCGCTCATCATCTGAGTAGCCAAACCGGGCTGCAACAACACAAAGAAAAAAACATTAATACATGAATACATAAATACACACGGCCAACAGTTTTTAAATGTTGTCAGGGTTATCAATAATATGGTGACCAACACCTTTTAACTACCTCTTAACTACAAGAGACTGGACACTGAAGCCATTATCTATTCTCTCTTCAAAACCACCAGACCTCATTCACAAAGACACTGATTCAACCTCTCAGAACACCAGTTTCTAGTCTACTGCTGCCTCCATTAGTTAGTGTTATTGTGTGACTTTAAGAGTTTTAAAGAGTTAGTGTGTTATTGAGTGAATCTGAACTAACAGATGGAGGCAGCAGTAGAGCAGCAGCTCATGTGTTATTAGAAGTTCTATTAGTGTTTCAGTGAATGTAGTCTGGTGTCTTTGTAGCGAGAATAGATAACATAAGTCTGTGACAGCAAAGTAAAGAGGTGAAAGTATTGTAAATATAGTGTACACTTATACTGATGAAAAATGTATAATCATCACCACAACATTGAAAGTATACTCCACTTCCATACAGTAGTTGACTTGAAAGTAGATGCAAACACATATATCATAGATACACATTTAGATTATTTTCATGAGCTTATGATTGTGTTAATTACTTAGTCATACGTACATTTGCTTTAATCTGTTTTCTTATTTGTTTTTGTCATGATTTCATTTGATATTTTTCCTTTCATTCATAGCGTCATAAAAAAATGTCTAAACTAAATTACTTTTACTTACATTCTTCCATCTCTAATTTAGTTTGTATTTCTTCGTTTAAAGCTGTAATTTGTTATATTTTTAATGGCTGTATTTATATTTGACCCAACAAATGAATCAGCTCCAGTTCACCCACATCAGCGGCGCCCTCGGCAGCCTTCTTCAGTCCCCAGCCGTCAGCGGCCCAGCGCTCGGCGGTGCTGCGGTCGTCGGTGATGAAGAAGTTGTCGAAGAAGATTTCGGAGGTCATGGACCAGAGCTCCAGGCCCACGGCGCTGAACGGAGTCATCCTGAACGGCTGCAGGTCCTCGAAGAATGCCGGGTTGGGGACCTTCCTCGGCTTCCAGACGCCCTGAGGACAGAATAAAATTAACCCGATTAAGTCTCGCGTATTATGAAGTATGCGTACTGACCAGCCTTCTGTATGATGAAGTATGCGTACTGACCAGCCTTCTGTATGATAAAGTATGCGTACTGACCAGCCTTCTGTATGATAAAGTATGCGTACTGACCAGCCTTCTGTATGATAAAGTATGCGCACTGACCAGCCTTCTGTATGATAAAGTATGCGCACTGACCAGCCTTCTGTATGATAAAGTATGCGTACTGACCAGCCTTCTGTATGATAAAGTATGCATACTGACCAGCCTTCTTTATGATAAAGTATGCGTACTGACCAGCCTTCTTTATGATAAAGTATGCGTACTGACCAGCCTTCTGTGTGATAAAGTATAACAGAACATATTTATAAACGTGTTCTTTAACGCAAAAATCCGACACAAAAACACTAATTTTACCTTATAAATTAACCTGATTATCGCCCATCGGTCCAAACACAGCTGCACCTGAACGCCTCACTACAGGTTGCAAGGTTACAAACTCACCTGGTAGTTGGGGTTGTCGATCATGGGTGGCTTCCACTTGCCCTTGTGGTTGGGGTTGTCGATCATCGGCCGTTTCCAGGCACCGCAACCGGGGGCGGTCTCACAGGCGGGGTTTGGGACCTGAGGGGCCTCCCATTCGCCGTCCATGTCCTCGTCCCTGACAGATAGGAAGCACAGACAGGTGAGCATGGGGTCTAGAGTTCTACTTAAAATCAGCCAATCGGAGGTCGTCATGTCGCGACTCTCACCAGTCTTCAGGTTTGACAGCATCGGGGTCTCCGATGTACTCGGGCTCGTCATCCAGCCAGCCGTCAGGTTTCACTGCATCTTCATCTGGTATCTGAGCAGGAGCGTCCTCATCCCTGCAGACAAGACACACATAGGTACATGCAAGTATAAATAACTGCATACACAACCACACAGATTAGTCAGAGATTACAACAGCAATCCGGCAGATAATCTCAGCCTGCTATCAATAAAACATTTTGTAACCCTTTTAAACGAAATATCCTGTTTTCAAGTGTATACTGACCAGTCTCCTACATTGCGAAGCATGCGTACTGACCAGTCTCCTACATTGCGAAGCATGCGTACTGACCAGTCTCCTACATTGCGAAGCATGCGTACTGACCAGTCTTCGGGCTTGGTGGCGGCCGGGTCCTGGATCTTGGGTCTCTCGTCCCAGTCCTCTGGCTTCTGGTCGTCGGGGTCCTCGATCTCAGCGGCGGGGTTCACAGCGGGGGTCATGTCCGTCAGCAGGCTGCCGCTGTTCACCACCGTCTGATCCACCAGCACCTCAAAGGTGTTGTCAGGGTTCACCACTGGGGGGCGACAGGTGAGGAGTTACACACCTGAACGCTGATTAATGCGTGTACTACCCAGCGTGTACTACCCAGCGTGTACTACCCAGCGTGTACTACCCAGCGTGTACTACCCAGCGTGTACTACCCAGCGTGTACAGGTGTGTCTTACCCAGTGTGTACAGGTGAGTTTTCTTGTCGGTGTAGTACGTCCTCAGGTCGGAGTCAGGTTTCTTGGCGTGTTTCTCTTCGTACTCTCCAGTTTTGGGGTTTTTGTGTCTGAAGATGAAGTGCAGTTTGTATTCTTCTCCACATTTGTCGGGTCCGAACATGATGGTGTACGGAGTTTTATCCCCGAACAGGTCCTGAAGACACACAAGGGACACGTTTAGACTCTAAAGAATCTCTTATTCAACTCCAATATTAAAATCATGCAACAAGAAATACAAATATGTGTTAAAGTAGAGTAACAGCAGCCTGTAGAGGTGTGTGATAACATGAAGTAGAGTAACAGCAGCCTGTACAGGTGTGTGATAACATGAAGTAGAGTAACAGCAGCCTGTAGAGGTGTGTGATAACATGAAGTAGAGTAACAGCAGCCTGTACAGGTGTGTGATAACATGAAGTAGAGTAACAGCAGCCTGTAATGAGTCAAACTGACCAGGTTGAGGTCGGGAGTCTGACTCAGCAGCTTCACGTAGGCCCCGCCGCAGTCGATACCGGCCTGGAAGTTCACCTCGTACCTGAGAACACAAGACGGATGTGTTAAGAGATGAGAGCGATGAAGAACACCTGACAGGCGAGGGAAGTCGTGGAGAGCTTCGTCTTCTTCTTACTGGACGATGAGGGGTTTGGTGTCGAAGGTGAAAGGTCGCAGCAGCTGAGCGGAGATGGCGTGATGTTTGGCTCGAGTCTTCAGGACCAGACCTTTATCACCGGGGAGCTTACTGTCCTTCATGTCCTCCACGGCCCATTTACCTGGAGATTACATCATCACCACCATCGTCATCATCATGCAAACTAATCAAAAACTAGTTTGATGGTTGAAGTCATTTTTCCTCCAGTTTAACCGACTACAACAGTAAAATACTGTTTTTACATGAATAATACGATATATAACATAGTACACCAGTCACAGTTTGAATATTAAACTACATTTGACTGATTATACTGAAGGAATGTTTTACTGTAACACAGTATTTGTACAGTGTGGTATTAGTACTTTTACTTGTAACAGTATTTTTACTGCGGCCATTTGTACCTTGACTGAAGTAACGGAAGTGAATACTTCCTCCATCACTGCATGTACTTCATGTGAGGGCAATAACAGTATTTGTGTACTTACCGTCGTACTTTGCGATGTCTTCGTCAGTGTCGTCCTTCTTGGCGCTCGACAGCACCCACCTGAAACCACACAGGTGAGTTCAGTAACAAACACACCTGGTCAGAGACGACCAGCAGTTCTCACATCTCAAAGAAACACCCGAGAAAATAATATCTTTATTATTTTAAATAAAGATAAAACACTCACCCGTCTAATGTCCCTCGGTCAAAAGACTCAGCGATGAAATGTTCCCCCATCGGCTCTGGAGCCTTGTAGGTCACCTGAAGAAGAAGAGGATGAGGATGAGGATGAGGAAGAGGAAGAAAAGTGTTCATGGTGGAGCAACAAACAAAAGGCAAGATTTAAAAAATATATTTTGAGGTTTTTTTTCAAAACTATCAACAGAAGCTACTTGTTTTCTTTGTGATGCGAGTCTAGTGCACAACATCATCAGTACTCCATCAGTACCAGATCTTACCTTGGGTATAGGAGGAGTTTTGGGTGTGAGAGGAGCCTCCTCATCCTGAATGTCTCCCTCTAGCTCCTCCTCCTCCTCCTCCTCTCTTCCAGCTATACCCAGATCCAGATCGTCCTCCACGTCCAGCTCGTCCCCAAGAACGTCCTCCATCAGGTCCTCAGCCTGAGAAACAGGAGCCAGACTGAGGCAGAGGAGGCCAACGGCCAGAAGAAGAACCAACAACCCGACCTTCTGATCCATAGTCTGGAGGAGGAGGGGGGGGGGGGGTGAGCACATCTGTTTGTTTTAGCCTCATTTTGTGTTTGTGTTTCACAAACGTTCACATCTCTACAGACTTCTATATAAATAACTATTTCATCACAAACTGTGACAACACCCACGTCGTCCGGGTGACGGACTAGCACTCACGGGACACGCAACCTTAACGAGATTACACCCCCGAGGGATTACTGCAGCACCCCACAACACACACGGTCAATTTACTCTGCAGCACATTAACGCTGAGAGGCTGCAGGTCACACACTCACACAGTGTTTACAGGTAAATAACAGAGCTAACTCTATAAACTGAGCAGTTTATTTTCCCATCGTCATAAACAAATAAATCCATTATCTTTAAACATCAATTCAGTCATAACAGAACTCCACATAATTATTGTTACCGTCAACCAAGGGTCCATTTTTGGGAAATAACCATTTAAATGTTCCCAGGAAGGATATTATTTAATCTATTACCAACATTTTGTACATTGCTAAAACTAAGATGTTTGTTTTTACATTTATAGTTTCTACATTTCTTAAAATAGGCTCAGAATCAACTTGTAGTAAATCTTAATTAATATTTTTCACTTTAAGAAAAAGAAAACAGCAAAAACATCAAATATTTTATTTAATTCATTATTTTTCATCCAACTGAAATACAGGATGTGCACAAATCTACTTTACACAAAATATGTTTAAAGTTTAAAAGTGATTTGTGTTCGGGGGAACATGAAAATAATGACACGTTGTTTAAATCTATTAAATAAAAGACGTGTTATGAATATCAGCCCCTCTCTGAATAAGAAGTCAATAATCCTGCAGATCTCTTTGTGTGTTAACCTGCTGATAATCAGATTAGCCTGCAGCGGGATTAGCATGCCCGGCTAACAAGAGTGTGACAACCGGCACTGGCTGTTAGCTTAGCATTAAAGCCGTCTGGCCGGTGCTCATGTGGCGTCGAGGGACGCTGTCAGTTAAAAGCTTCAGTGAAAATATTACAAATGTAAAACTGCAACAGGTAAAATGTGAATCAATAAATTGATTACTCATTTCATGCTACGCATATTAATGCATATTTTAAGAACAAATTAAGTAAATTGTCCTCTAAAAACAGAATGAATTGCTTTTATTTCATTACAGACGTTATCTCTTTGTGTTTAGGACGGTTTGTTGAAAGACGTCACCTCAGCAGGCTTCTTTTATTTTTGTTATTGGTTCCTACTAAAGAAATAAATCCTCATAAATATATAGTTTAATTTAGGAATTGAAGGAAATCATTGTGATCAACGGGACTAATAATGTGATTGATTATCGTTAAATTAAACTTTGTATTTGAGGTCCAGATGATTCTACCAGGATGAATTATTGGGGACTACTTTCAGCAGCGGATGAATCCACTTGTTGGAGTTCTGTATGAGTGATTGAGTCAATACAGATGTGTTTTTACTTCATCATGTTTACAGTCACAGCCTTTGAGAAGCTCTCTGATTGGCCGATAGCCGTTGGTCTCCTCTCTGAAGGTCTGCTGCTCTGATTCAACGTCTGATAACAGAACTGGGTTTGGGTTTGATGGAGGAGACGCGGTGGTTTGGAGGACGACTAAAGTGTCCCAACAGGATGGACGGGTTACTATTTAAACAGAAAGCAGTGAATATAAACACTGACTAGCGTTTCTCAACTACTAATGTGTGACTCATCTGTTTCCATGTGAGACCAACAGATGATTTTAATAACTCCTTCTCTTCTTGAATATATATATATATATATATATATATATATATATATATATATATATAAATCCTTGGGCTGAACGGTGAAATTTGAGCAGTTTCTGACACCAACAATAACTGATGAATTATAAGAACAAACTATTTTTTATTTAAAATATTAACATTTTAAAAATGTGTCCTAAACAGTGAAAAAATAAACAGAAAAAAATTTAATAAACTTTCAAAGAAATCTATTATTACAGAAAGGAAACAGTTTCATGACTCAGCAGAAACAACTAATTAATTTACCAAGCTGATTTTTTAACAAATTATTATTATTTACTTCATTGACAAATATTCTCGGCATTTGTCATAAAATGCAGACTCAGCGACGTCACTGAACTTGTGGATTTATTTGGTGTCAGTGTAGCGACTGAAGTCTAAATAGCTTTACATTGGTTAGTCAGATTGTGGTCTATATCTTATTAAAACTAACCTTTAAATCAGTACATTTATGAGCATGTGAGCTTATAAACTTTAACAGTTTGTATTTGAAAAAATTCAACGTTAGAGCCGGTGCGACACACACACAGCAGGTTGAGCCGGATTCACCCGAGAGACCGGATCACCATGATGTCAATCACATCATGAGAGAATGTTTGTGAACACATGAATGTGTAGAATGGTTGTGAATCTAAAAGGGGTGGAGCTTTAACCAAAATAATTAACTACTGCTTCTCAAATGTGAGGATTTCTTACAACCGTTTCTTGTCCTTGAATCTCTGGCAATTACCTCAGAATGAATCCAAACAGGTTCGTTTTAAAAAGGACAAATTGTCCTCAGCACATCAGAGGATCACTGATGAAGACTTCAGACTACAAAGTAAATATTTATTAAATACATTAAAGTGTCTTCTACTTACTGTGTAGGAGCTTTATACATGTGTAAAATAATAACTACTTAAATACTAGAATTTAAACAAACACATCTACATAAATGTCCCTTGATAGCGTTTGAGTTGGAGCGTTTTTATTAATTTAAAAGAATCTTAAATTGATTGTACTTGTTTGTTTCAACAATGCTCTACATTGAATGCATGTTTACAATAAAACACTATTAAATGGTAAAAAATAAAGTAAAACAAAGCCATTAAAGGCTGTCCTGTTTCATCCAAAATAGCACATTTATAGACGTCTTGTGCATCATTTCATTAGATTTATTTCCTCCATTTTTAAAAGTGAATGATTAATCACCATGACTTATTGACAGGTTGAAAATAATCAATGGTTATCATATTATGTGTGTATATATATATATAGTACTGGTTTCCACAAAAAAATGCCTCACATATTTGATAGATTTAAAAATTTAAATCATTTTCGTTTCTGATTGACATTTAGCTGCAAGTTTGGTTCTGCGAGAGCGATGAAGCTAACAAGCTAACATGCTAACTGACCTCTTGACACTTCACTCACTCATTCGTTTTGACAGCTCGTCTTTTTTACACCGTTACCTTAAAATTATAACTGACATTTATGTTCCAGTACCGGCTTATTTAAATCGTTTCAGTGTCCTCAGAGGATCAACCTTTTCTCCGTTAGGCCAACGCAGCATGCTAAATAGCCTAGCTTAATTCACCTGTAGTTAGTTAGCTCCAGTTAGCCACTCTGATGCTAACGGCATGCTGGAGCCACGGAGCTTTTTGATTTTAACGGCTTTTAACGGACGGAATTTTAATAAGTACCGCACAGAGAGTATAAACAAACCGATGGTTTATCAGAAGACGCTACTCACGCGCTGTGTTTTCCCCGGGAATAAGTGCCGTTTATCGGCCTCTTTACTCACCTCCGTGCTCTCAGATGTAAACGACTGAGGAGCGTCACATGGGAGATTGGAGGAGCACAGGCCACCTCCCACCAACGACGCTGATTGGTCAGCGGGAGGGAATGTCTGACGTTTCCTGTCAACTGTCAACAGCTGATTGGTCGAAAGGGGGGGGGGGGAATCTCGGTCGGACAAGACAGTTAGCCCCGCCCCCCCCTCCCAGAGCTGAACCTCGTGGACAGCGCTGATTGGTCGAGCCCTCAGAGGAAGTGCGTGCTGATTGGCTGATGAAAAAGGACTGCGAGATGGTTTCATGAGGAAAATACCAGAATCTTTAGCGCATTTATTTTATCGTGAACATTTAGTTCCTTTTTGCACTCAAATGAAAGTTTATATATTATGTAAAACCAACCATAATATTATTAAAAACGAGGGTAAATATGTCATCCATTTTGAACATGATGAATATAACACATTGTTTGTTTAATTATTGTTTGTATGTGGTACATTTTACATATATAAATGCAAAATAACAAAAGTTACCCCCAATTACACTGGAGAGCCTCACCGTGACAACAGCTTACCTTAAAACCACACATTAGTACGTTTATTATTGTGTATTTCCTATAAATAGAGCCAGGCTAGCTGTTTCCCTCTGCTTACGGTCACTATGCTAAGCTAAGCTAATCTGAATCCTGCTTCCAGCTCTGTACTGAACACACATGACTTAAATCCATCTAATGAGCATTTTACCCCAAAAAATGTCCCATTAATTCTCTCAGCATGTCAGTGCAGAGCTGTTAGGATTCATGTGGCCCATGACGTCACCGGACCACATTTTTAACCAAGTAGCTGTTTCTATTTGGACATACAGTATGTTGATAATGTGTAACCACTGAGTAAACATGACTTTTATTGTGAAGTCCACATTTTAAATGAATTCATACCTCGCAGCTTCTCCTGAGATGAATCAACTTCGTCACAGCGGAGTGATGTTGGCATTTCAGCATTTTTGATGTACCTGATGACATTCACAGAAATATGCCCCCCCCTCTCATAACAAACCTACACCCCCAAAAATAGAAAGAAAATCATTTTAAATTTCTGTCTTTATTACAAGTCACAGATTGGATAGAAGTTTAGGATCATTTAAATAGTTTTATCTAAAGGATACAAAAGACAAACACAAGATTATAGCAATGCGTTCCAGTGCATCTTACAAAGAAGAGAAGAGACGACTCGGGATGTTTTCCTGAAGCTTGAAGAGACGCTCAGTTTCTCATATGAAGCCCAAAAATTGTGTTTTTGACAGAAGAGGTGATGTCCTGGAGGAGTTGGAAGAAATGTTTTCTTTAATCCAACACTAATAATAATCAATAACCGATAATGGATTTGTTCATTTGAAGGTGACTGAATATTATTTTGTCTGTTTTTAAATCGTGAAAGTCTCATAAAACCATCATTTAACTGGCTTTGTTGTAATTTGAGTTCTTTAGTTACTAGTTGAGTCTTGGTTTGATTTTATTCATGTTCTTGTTCATCGTCTGAACACTTGAGGACTCATCGTTTAGAATTCGATGGAAACATTTACATCATTGAGGGAACGAATAACTGAACCGAGGGAACAAACAAAGAGAAAATAATAATCCGAGGAAACAAAATCCAAAAGACGTCTTTACAGAGAAATACAAATGAAACTACACTGTTGTTTTACCAAAAGAGTCAAAAAAGAGACTGAAACTGTAAAGAAAGAAAAGACGTGAATCTCTCAAGACAGCAGAGGAAACTACAGTACTGTGGAGTACTTTACAGTTCCATAGAGTACATCAGAGTACTGTAGCATACTGTAGAGTACTGTAGAGTACATTAGAGTAATATATAGTACTGTAAAGTACTGCAGAGTATGTTAGAGTGCTGTAGTATATAATAGCACTGTAATGTACTGTAGAGTACCACAAAGTACATTAGAGTACTTTGAAGTACATTAAAGTACTGTGAAGTACATCAGAGTACTGTGAAGTATATCAAAGTACTGTGAAGTAGAACAGAGTACAGTAGAGTACTTTGAAGTACATTAAAGTGCTGTTTAGTAGAACAGAGTACTGTGAAGTAGAACAGAGTACAGTAGACTACTGCGAAGTACATCAGAGTACTGTGAAGTAGAACGTCTGTAACAAGGCTTCAGTTAACTTAAAATAAAACAACCTAAAAGACTTATTTGAAACAGTAAAACACCAGCCGTCGTCGTCAGTAGTTTCAAGGCCGAGGTTGCAGCAAAGGATTCTGGGTACTTTTGTCCGGGGTTCGCTGCTCTTCGTCTTCGTTAAGGCAAACCTCTGAACAGCAGCTACAGACACATCGACACACAGAGGGCATTCATATGGAAGTGTGTACATCTCTTTGCATATATGCACATACACGGTTACTGTGGGGGGGTGAGCGGGGGAGGAGGAGGGGGGGTGTTGGTAGAAAGGTCCGGACCAACCGTCTGCAGATAAGAAAGAGGCCTTTGAGTCTTTGAGTCTTTGAAGCAGCAGGTTTCAGAGGACGTGGTGATTACCAGTGTTTTCAACATCTACCTTCCTGTATGTACACATAAATACAAGATTCTCAACCAACAGCATTGTCCGAGTCCAGTTTTTAGTCTGTGATCCGCGTGCAGCGGAGAGGTCCGGCCAGACGGAGGCGCTGTGGCACCACCGGTGAGGATCTGGTGACCGAGAGCCTCAGAGAGCTTCACTCTGCTTTCTTTATGAAGATCTGAGTCAGGAGGGACCAGAGAAACCAGTATGAGACCAGGGTCAGCACACAGCAGGCAGGTAATGATCTAGTTTAGACCAGTATGAGGATGTAGAGCTCAACAGGTTTTAAAATACTTTAAATACAAAAGAAAAAAGGGAGCAAATAGAACTTTTAAAGATCCACAATCACATTGATACTTATTACAGATCATTGATGATCCATATTAAAGTGTTTTTTTCCTCATAAAAACACACAATGCAAATGATAATGAAATAATAGATTGTATTTTTATTGATTAAAATAAATCTCTTCATTATTATTGTTAAGAGACAACGATGCTTTATAATATTGAGTTTATAGCTCGTGTTAGGAAGTTAAACAGCTCATAATTCATCTCTAATATCTATTTTATATTCATGTGAAAACATCTCCTTCAAACTACTGGATTTATTAAAGTTTATCACCAAACCTACATTTTACAGTTTACATGTGAACACATCATGATAACGTTATAATGTACCTTCAGCCAGTACTCATGTTCACTGAGCAGAGCCTGAAGGCATCATGATGTAACTGAAGTGAACCTCAGTTGGTTAGCCGTTAGCGGTGCTGCTAACGTTACTAGCTCTCCTCCT